TAACAATTTGTGTTTACATAGTTTATATAGAGGTGTTTGCATAATAAAGCAAAAATAAAGCCTTTCTCTTGTATACTGTGTGTGTGTGGATGGTGCGAGGCAGATGTGTGTATGGTGGGTGTGTGTGTGTGTATGGTGGGGGGGTGTATGAATGGTCGCGGTTTGGTTGTTTTTTGTTTTTTGTTTTTTTTGGATTGGAAGAATTGCTCTATTTCTCTGAAGGCAAAAAAACAAGTGAAAACTAAGAGCTGGCATTTTCTATGGGATGCCTTGAGTTTGTAAAAGTTGTGAACAACTGGTTTAACATAATTGTACTTGATTATGTCCTGTGATTGAGATGATGTCAGTGCTTTTTATTGTATGGTGGGTTTTTTAAAGAGTCCAGTTCAGTTACTGTGGGGAAAACTTGGGCATATGAGAAATTAACCCAGAAACTAACTCTTACAGGATAAAATCTTCGTCAGTACATTGTACATTTTGCAAAGGCTTAAGACTTTGTACTTGTCTGGGTGATTCTTTTTGGTATTGGGCATTTCTTTCGACTCAGTTTTGTCTGACCATGCTAACTTTTAGCTGAATAATGGACTTTAGAACCGATTGGACATATTATCAATTCAGGAATACGTGGAGTATTTCAATATCTCCTGCACACATTTTTTCATCTTATTTTTTGTTTTTGAATTATGTGTAAATTGTAGATTTGTATGGGTAGAATAATTAATAATACCAAAGTTGCCGCTAGGAACAAATATAACAAGGCTCACATTGGTCTGTTTAGCTAGAATCCATTTCTATAGAAGATTTAAAATACTTGGATCGAGTTGATATTTGCTGGTTTCTATCTCGTTTGAATTCAGGATCATCTTTTCTATATTTTAGGTCTTCAGGCTTCAGCTAATGTAGGTGAATTGCATGACTTGGAGACACGAACTGTAAATCCTGATGCTTCTGTATCCAGTAATATCTCCAGCACACAAACTATGGTAACCCAGCAGGCTGTTAAAACTGAGTCATCAAGTACAAATGGGGCAGTTGTTAAAGATGAAACTTCACTAACAACATTCAATTCAAAATCTGAAGGTTTGAAATGTGTTTCACATACTGTATTTTGAGCCATATTTATCTAAGGCCATCAAAATTCTTCTAGTGTGGCGGGTTTCTCATCTTGGCTAGTACCTGGGCTTGGAATAGTGCTTCAGGAGTTGATGACATTGGGAAATTGAGTGACATCTCTTTTCCAAGTGAAGAAAGTTCTTGTAAACCCCTTTGGTCTATGTGAGCAAGCTGTATGTGGCTGTTCTATGTGGCTCCTGAACTGAAAAGAGTTTAGTTCCTTTGGTGCATTGTTACAGAGCAGAGCTTATTAGTATATATGCAGTACTGCACTAAACACACCCATGTTCCTTCCATTTTTGGGGGCCATTGTGCACAGAGCAGGCACAGCATGTCTCGGCACAGGACTGCCATGCACCATGCATATTGTAACTGCTTGGATTCGATAGAGCTAAATTTGCACATTCAACGCGGGCTCCCTCAGTTTGCCTCAGCAGAATTGTACTGGTACACTGGGCAGCCCTGATTGGCTGACCTAAACCGCCTGTGTCTCCCTGCAGCACAATGTGAGATTTGTGAAGGGGATGTATTCTGTTTCCTGCTTGGCTGGAGCAGCAGAGTCCAGTAGGTGACATGCTCCCTGGCTGGGAGTGTAGGGCTACTGTGGCTTCTCTTGGAGGACAACATGTACAGATATTCACACTCCCAGGAGAAAGTCTCTTGGGAGCAATTTAACCCTGGCTGTTCCCAAGTAATTTCTCCCCCAGCCCCTCCACACCCCCCAGAGCAGCCATTTTTGCTCTGGGTGAAAAATCCTGAACTTCTGTATACTTGTCGTTTCTTCTGGGACAGCAGCAACTCTCCCAGGGGAAACCGAATATCTCTACATGGCCTAGGAATCCACTGTTCAAGTACCAATGGTGGCCAGTTTTGGTGCCTGTAACGCATGTCTACCTCTCTGAATTAGCAAAGATGGTCAGAGGTTGCCATTTGACTTTCTCAACATTGTGGAGCCTCATACCAAAGATGAACAGTTCATAAGATAAATTTATTACATTTGCAGTGTTTTTTTCATAAGCTGGTTGAAATGTCTGAAATAAACAGTTAATGTAAACCTTAATATGCAAACTTCCAGTGCAAAAAAGCTTAATGGAAGTGAAGAGTCAGAACTTGCTCTAGCCTGAGAATAACTGAGAAGCATGTCCTTGTTTAACCTTCTTGTAATACTGCTTGTAAGTGCAAGATATTTTGTTTGGGGGTTTTTTGTTTGTTTGTTTTTAAAAAAGACATGTCAAGCCTGAATACTAACACAATCTTCCTTTGTTCACGTATTTGGAATAATGATTCAGATTTGTTTAAATCTTGACTAAAATAATTAGTTTCTCATCCTATTACTACATTATTTTTTTAATAATGTACTTTGTTGTATTCTGTTCAGATGTCTTGGCTGTAGTTATTTGTGTGAGCTTTGAATTAAAAATCAAATGTTTAATACTGACTGGGCAAGATATGCCTCAGTCTGATCTATTGTCACACTGTTGAACTCTCGCTATTTAGATGCAGTTCCAGACCCAAAGTCTTAATTCAGTGTTGGGTCTTCTGTTTGCAATATCAAAAAAAATTTACAGTGTTCTGTAAAATTAATAATACAAGTAACTGATGATTAACAGTTGAATTTATTAGTATTGTTTAGGCTGTAAACAGAATTGTTTGTAAAACAATAAAATGTATCTATAATATTAGACTTCTGCAATAGATGCTTACCAAATGAAGCTGTGAAGTTTCTGTGTTTACATGAATATGTTTTGAGTCAACTAATGGCTTTTAATATCATTCTTTTTTCTAGTGGATGAATCAACTTTTATAATGCAGTCAAATAGGGTCAGCCCTGGACAAAGAAATGATACAAGTGAACACTTACCTGTAAGTATGTGACCTTGTCTAATCAGAATTAATAAATGTTGTTTTACTGTTTTTAGAGGGACCTTCACACTTAAAGAATAACAACATGTTTTACTCCACAGCGTTATGGTGAATAATTCAGTCCAATTGCAAACAATTTGGTTTTATTGAAGCAATTATTTTGGAAAGGAGAGGAGGAGGCGTAGTTACACATTTGAATTCTAAACCCGCTTGTTTATCACTCAGTACAGTAGAACTATCTATACATGATTATAAAGTATGGTTTCTCTGCACGGTAATAAATGATTTCTGTATACAATACTTCAGCTGAAAGTATGTATTCTTGTAGTTCATTTAATGAAGATCCCTTGAAATTTTGAGATTTTAGTACAGAACTGCTTAGAAGTTTGTAGACTGAAGTGGTGATGTCCTTCTTGGAAGGGACCCCCTTTCCATGGCATGATGCTCAGAGATAGCAACAGAACATGAGCTGTCTGTTTCTAACACTGTACGTTGTGACAGTTAGCTAGCTAGGTACTACCTGCATACCTTCCAAGTTGGATTTTTGAAGAACCGACACTTTTAACCAATTTAAGCACTCAGCGTTTTTAACTACATTTCAAATAATGATAAAATGTAACATACCAGAGTGATTGGGAATCAATATGTGTATCCGAGTCTTGAAATGTGACTTTTTTTATATTACATTGAAGTATGGATGGTCTACATAACATGTTCCTCAAATACTAGAAAACTACCCCATTAAGGCAGATGGCAACAGTGAAAACAAGAGAACGACAGTGGTATGATGTGGGAATTTTTAAAAACAGCAGTGCTTTGGTGAGCCAGTTCTACTTGCTACCAGAAGAAAAAGCAAGCATCTCAAACAAGGTAGCTGCTATGTTATTTGTTCTTCCTTTCCTTCCTTCCTTCAGTTTGTTGCCCAGGTTTGCTAACTCTTGAAATTGGAACTTGGAAATTTTCTGATTACAGAACATGAAAACTGTAATCTCTAAAATGCAAAGTGAGGCTTGAAATTGTTGCAGATGCGTATCTTAAAAGTTATTTATGCAGTTGCCTTCAGTTTTGAGGGGGAGGGGAACAAAATCCATTCACAGACACGGGAAGGTGAAGTCTGATCAAGAAGTGCTTTTCAGGAAGTATAAATAAAGAATTGCACTCTTTGATTCTTTTTTTTTTTTTTTTTTTTTTTT